TGTACAGCTCGGGAAAGAAGCACCTTCTGTTGTGTTTGGAAAAAGCTCTGTCACAGGAGAAAGGAGCCAGAGGTGGCTCCAGGTGACATCTCTGGGTGACCCTGGGCCAGCCCCACATAACCCTGAGCACCCACCAAGCCCAGGGCACCCCATACAGGGGTGTTTTCCTAGGTTTGGATGCTCTGTTTGCAGGGGGATGCCGCATTCCAGCTTCTCCATGGCCTGCTGGGGCTGCTGGACCATGCAAAGCCCAACATGGAGCAGAGCAGTGCCATGACTGAGTGGCCATGGGGGGGACTGTACTTTTTTATTTTTGTCTTCTTAGGACTGCTTTTGGCACCTTATAGCAAAGATTAGCAGATTGTCAACATGGTTTCAGCACCAGTTTAAGCAGCTTTAGCCAGGGGTGTGTTTCTGAAGGACTTCCCTGCCTTCCACAGACCTGGCAGCCTGTTCCCACCCAGGCCATCCCTTCTCCAGCTATTACTACCCATTTATTTACTTCTCTGTGTACAGCTCCCAGCCCAGGTCACTGAGCAGTTGGGCAAGAGCCTGTGGGAGCAGATCTTTCAACCAGTGTGAGTTTTCTGGCATTTTCATGCCTCTGTTGTGCTGGAGTTCTCTGTGGGAAATTTTGCTCTCACAAGAAGTCTTGGAAGGGAATCCAGAGGAGGCTCCAGGATGGGCAGAGGGATGGAGCAGCTCTGCTGGCAGGAAAGGCTGGCACAGCTGGCATTGTTCACCTGCACAGGAGAAGCTTTGGGCTGAGCTCAGGGTGGCCTTGCAGGGCCTGAAGGAGCTGACAAGAAAGATGGAAAGAGAATATTCACAAGGGCAGAGTGCAACAGGACAAGGGGGATGAGAGAAAGGGAAAGAGAGTAGGATTAGATGAAATATTAGGAAGAAATTCTTTACTATGAGGGTGGGCAGGCTGTGGCACAGGGTGCCCAGAGCAGCTGTGGCTGCCCCTGGATCCCTGGCAGTGCCCAAGGCCAGGTTGGACACTGGGGCTGGAGCAGCCTGGCACAGTGGAAGGTGTCCCTGCCATGGCAGGGGTGGCACTGAGCGATCTTCAAGTTCCCTTCCAACCCAAACCATTCTGGGATTCTGTGGTTCTCTGAGTGCTGAGGCCTCCAAAACCACCCTGGAAGCGCTTTTCAGAGTCCCAGCACAGGCTCCTTCTCACCTGGGAGCCTCTGGCTGTCCCCATTGCCTTTCAAACTAATAAATTTTGGGAAAGTTTCAGGTTTTTTCTTCATGGGCCACTTTTCCAGTGACAAACTCCTTGGGGAGGAAGCAGTGACCAAATTCACCACAACCTGAGTGGCTGCAGTGAATGAGGATGAGGCTGAGCAAGCTTTGCAATGCCCTCAGTATGAGCTGACCTGGTAGCAGCCTCTCTAATCCAAGATGTGCTTGCTAAATAAACTTGAGAAGACATGTAGATATTAGGAGTATACATTTTTTTTCTCATTTATTTCCCTCTGAAACTTAGAAGTATTGAACAGAGGCATTTATATTAAGGGAATGACGCATGTAGGGTTTTGCTGATTCCTAATCTGAATTTCTCTGACACCCTGCATTTCAGCACAACACAGGTGTTTTATGTCACCTGGGGAAAATAGTAGCATAGGGAAAAGGAAAAAACTGTGCTTCAGACACTTATTTATGAACTTACGTCTGCTTTCATCAGAGTCAATGACTGGCAAAACTCCAGTCAGCTTCAGTAGAAATGGGTGATAAATTTAACTATCAAATCAGCTTGATTTTAAGTAACCCTGCTTTAAGGTGAGGCTTTCAGGTCTAAGGAGAAAATACTTTCTCAGCAGACATTTATCATCTCAAGACTGGACAAAGTGTTCTTGGGTACCATGACTGTGTGTAGTCTTACCTCTTTTTATTTTTTAATTTTTTTCTATTTTGTAAATTCCAGGTGTAACACAGTATATTTACAAAGGGCAAAAATAACAGGCAGCCGTGAAGAAAAACATCTCTGGTTTCATTTCAGACCTGGAGCTGGGGATGAATCACTGCAGAGCTGCACCCTTCATTCTGGGTACACTTTCCAAAAGCTGCTTTTCCACCCTGCTCCCCCGGTGGTACAGAAATAAAGCAGACTCACAGAAAGTCCTAAAAAAACCCCTTTGTAGACAGTCACTCTCTTGTTGTTCTGGGCACTAGAAACACCATTTTCTAGCGTCTGCTTGCATTTTCAGTTTTGCTTTCTGTGCTGTAGAAGTTTGTTCCAGGCAGTTGAGTTAAGCCCTGGCTCAGTGGTTTAGGGCACACACTCAATTTGAAGTACCAGAGTAGTCCTGTTAAATCCCATGGAGTTGATTCCATGCCTGAAATTAAGCGTGGCCTTAGGAGATTTGATGGATGGGGGATTTGCTTGTCCACCCAGTGAGCTAAAGGGACAAAACTCTTGACCATCTGCTTCTGGATTTTAATGAAAAGTTATGACTTATTTATGATCTTCTTCCCCACCCCTGTGTATTTATATTCAGATCAGAAAACCATCTCAGAAGCCCTGTCAGATTGCCAAAAGCTCTGTGCTACTGGATCTTCCACATCATTTACTGCTCAGTGTTTACAAGAGTGTTTTTAATGCACCACTGCTTGTAGAAGTGCTGTAGGCTGCTACTGATTGATTTTTCACTTTGGAGTCCCTTTAGCCCAAGTTTCTTTCCCCAGAAAAAAAAAAATTAAATAACTGTGCCAGTTAAAGTAAAGGATGTTGCTAGCTCTCTGTTTCCTAAAAATTCAGTGAATGGGCCAAATAGTTCTTTGTAACAGAATTGCTTTTGGGAGTGGGGGTCCACATCTGCACAGGTATAAGGGCAGGTGGTGGACGATGTTTCCAAATGTCCATAATTTAAAGTGCAGGCTCACTCATTTATGCCACTTGTATTTGTGGAAGGGAAGCAGGAAAAGGCAACATTTCACTGACAAGGAATCATCACAAAAGCTCTCCTTCGGATTTTATGTCTGAAACAAAAAGCAGCTTTGTTTTGCTCTGCTCTGTTTGGACTGAAATGGGCTGCATCCCAGGGTTATATTTAGTGGTGTGTGGTAGGAGAGCAAAACTAAACCTGAGAAAATATTGCCCAAGTGCTCTGGCTGTGAGAGGAAGGGCTGAATTCACCATCACAGTGGCAGGTGCTGACTGTGTTTTCCCTCATGGTTGTTTTTCAGTCCTGGGGCTGACAGAGCAGTTGCAGGGCTTTTACACAAGGCAGATTTCATAGGGGGTGTCTTTAGAGGCATCCTGGAAAAAGGGTGTGGAGCCAACATTTTCCAGGCAGCACTGAAGGCCTTCTTCCTTCTCCTAAAGGTGATGTTGCCAACCATTGAATGATCTCTGTGATATATTTTGGTTTTTAACTGAAAGTCAGCAGCAGTTGATTTTTTTTTCCTTAATAGCTACCTTTACCCAGAAGGGTAAAATTAGTAGAAACATTGCATAGAAAAATAATGCTATACTTAATATTTTCTTCTAGTATTTAAGATGTACACTAATTTTTCAGCTTTCCAGGTGCTGGTTTTTTTTTAAAAACACTCATGTGAGAGTTATAACTGGATTAGTTCCTGAACCATGACAGTGCTGAGCAGTCAACACAACTGAGTCACAGGGCTTTGAAGGGGCTCCAAGAAAGCTGGAGAGGGACTTTGGAAAGGGCCTGGAGTGAGTGGATAAGGGGAATGGCCTTAAACTGCCAGAGGGCAGGGCTGGATGGGATCTTGGGAATGAGGAATTGTTCCCTGGCAGGGTGGGCAGGGCTGGGATGGAATTGCCAGAGCAGCTGGGGCTGTCCCTGGATCCCTGGCAGTGCCCAAGGCCAGGTTGGACACTGGGGCTGGAGCAGCCTGGCACAGTGGAAGGTGTCCCTGCCCAGGGCAAGGGTGGCACTGGGTGATCTTTAAATTCTCTTCCCACACAACCCATTCTGAAATTCCATGATTCCGTGAATCTGTGACCTGCCTCTTGTTTAGTGAGGCCACAGCACAATTCAGGAGTTAAATGGCAGACTAAAGGAAAGCTTGTTAGTAATGAGGTATTGCTGAAGAAACCAAACCCCAGCTAACACCCTTCTTCCCTTGCCAAACAAACTCTTTACATTTAAAGGTATTCCCCATGGCTGAGTTCTTTATTTTGATTTTTGTAACAATTTTTCTCCCTCTGATGAAACACGTTGTAGACATTAAATTAAGGGACAAATATGTCTGTGTCTGCCAGAAAGAAAACTGTGATGCAATTAAAATGCCATTAGGGAACCCCCTGTGGGATGTTAAACCTAAAGACTCTATTCAGAAAGCAAAGCCAAAATTAAAGAGGTGTCTGGTTGCAGATCCTCTGCAGATTTCCCTGTCTTGACTACAGTACCATGGAGACTGAGCTAGTCAGGAGCTGAAAGGTTTTTCCAGTCGTGCGTGTGGTATTTTGAATCATGGCTTTGGCAAATATTCCCTTTTTCTTGTGAGCCTGACGTAGAAATGTGAATACATTTCATGACATGAAGTGCAAGTGAGTGTGGAACAACGATGGCAGTGGAGGTGGGCAGCTCTCCAAGCCTTGGACTGCTTGGACAATGGCAACTAAGAATAGTTTCCCCCCCCAGAAATATGCAATAAGTGCATTTCTGTGTTTCTCAGTTGTCTCTGAGATGTTTGGAGAGGGAAATGCAGCTCCTTGAAGCCACCAGGCTAAACAAGCTCATGACCAAGCCTCCATTCCATGTCTGGAATTAAATTATTAGCATTTATAATTTATGGAGAGATATGAGAGCCTGATCCTTTGGTAGCAGAAATAAATCTATGGTCCATTTAACCTGGTTGGTGTTTTTAGACAACTGAAGGAATCTGCAGAGTCACTGGGTGGGGGGTACTGGGTTTTCCAGGTGCTCAAATCCCAGTTTTCTATTTCATTCCAGGTGGTCTCTTCTGGTGATATTAATAAGGACTGGAATAATAATGGAAGCACACCTTTCTTGTCTGCCTAGGAATTCTCCAGATGACTGCAGCGTGGCAAAAGGAGGGAAGATGGTCAGCAGCTCAGACAGTGTTGGGATGAACTATGGAAACTACATGGAGGAGAAGCACGTTCCACCCCCAAACATGACGACCAACGAACGAAGAGTCATTGTGCCAGCAGGTTAGACCCTCTACACCAAAACTGCAAGCTAAAAAAACTGCATTTCCCTCAAGCCCACTAAGATTGTTTGAGAGGGTTTGGAGAAGAGTGGTGATCAGGAGGAAAAGATCAGTAGTTTTTAGGGGTTGTTGAGAGAATGAGCTGAGGAGGATCAGTGAAGACACCTCCTCAATCTGTTCTTCCCATTTCAGCAGCAGAATGGGCTGATTAGAGGCACTCAGATCTTATCTGACTCCTGTAGCTCCTTCTTGGAGGATTTCACCCTAAAATGAGCAAAAGGAAGAAGCACCTCCATTTCTTGTCCCTTGGACAAGCTGGGTGCGAGGTGTTTGTGGGAGAGAGAGAAAGGATCCCTGTAGCAGGTTATCTTTGAAAATACCAAAAAGTAGCTTCTGTGGGATTAAACAGGGCATGAAGAGACTTTATGTGAGTTATCCCCTGAGTCTGGGCAGCATAAAACATTTTAATAAGCAAACTGACAACTCCACTGCAATGTAAGAGCACAATTGAGAAATTCTTGGTCAGCCTTGGCAGGCTTGGCTGTGGGATTCAACAGTTGATGGGACAAGAAGGCTGCTGCCTTCTGCAAAATATTCTGCAAAGGCTGCTGCCTTCTTGCCACTTCTGTCTGCCTTGTCCTCCAAACAAATCTGGAATATTTTGCAGAATAATCAGTGTGCCTGTTTCCAAGTCACAGCATCATGGCATCTGTGGGTGTTCCTGAACCACAGGATGTGCACAGGGTAAACTCAACACCTGCATTCAGGAGGGAATGTTTTGCTGCTGGTTCCTCTCCAGCAGAGAGGTGCTTGTGTGAAATATTTCTGCCTCTGCCATGTTGCTTAATATTATTACAGTTTTTCAGTTGCTTAGACATGCAAGAGTACTGACTGTGGCCAATTTTGCAAGCTGTGATTATTTCAGTTATTTGTCAAGAAAGGTGTGGACAAATATGTTGCAGTGTCCTCTGCAATGGTATTGTCAATTCTCTTCTGGAGACAGGAGAGTGATGCTCTGAATAAAAAATGTCCTGCCAACACTGAAACACAGAGCTTTTGAATGTTCTCCTAAAATGTTTCTCTCCCTGGTGTTTGGCACTTTTTAAAAAAAAGACCTTTAGTAATTCTTAGCATGGTTAGCTCAGCAAGGGATTTTTTTATTTAGTGTATTCCTGGTTGAGTTGGGTTTGAATGACTGTCAAGGAGCAAGATGGTCACAGTCTTGCCATTTTGAAGTCACTTGAAGAAAGTAATGGGCAAAAATCAGTTGTTTTAGATTATTACATAGGCAGTGTGCAGGTTATGTAGTAAAGTTAGAAGTCACATTTCCAGCTGTGGTAACTTTCTATTTATCATAATTAAGGTGTGTTTAAAAATTACAGACATAATGAAAATATTTTGGTAAATTTCCTGGTGTTTGGTTGTTTACTTCAGAGCAAACTGAAGGTCTCAGAGTTCTTTGCTGCAGGTGTGGACATCTCATCCAGACCTAAGATTTACTACCAGACTTGCATCCCTCTATATTCCTGCTTATTTCATATCAGATGGAGACATTATTTTAAGTGTTTTTTGGTGGAATTCAGGACGTCTTCACCTCTTTCAAACCAGCCTGAACAACAGTGAAAACAGAGGGAATGGCACTGAAGTTAAGCCATAGAAAAGCTATTTAGGCTGCCATTCATATCTCAGATTTTCATGGGATGAACAACAGCCAGTTGACCTCCACGTGCTCCATTCTCAGCTTTGAGGATATCACAAAATCACAGAGTCATTAAGATGATAAGGAATAAAGTCTTGAAGAATTTTTTCCCCTTGGCTTTAATCTTTTCTCTGCAAAAAGTATAAATTCTTTGTGGTAGGAGCTGAGGGACCTTTGTGTTGGCTCCTTACTCAAGAACAAGGAAAAACAGAATGGGAGAGAAATAGAAAATAAGGTGTTTAGAGGGAAAATTTTTAAAAAGCTTAAATTAAAATTAAGGATTCATTAAAAAACATTTTGCTAGAAATCTCAACTGTTTGGGGCTCTTTTTCCCCAGATGGTTTTGCCAATACTTCAGGTGTTGAGTACAAACCACACAGGCGTAGCAATGTACAACACAGCAGTCTGGGAAAAAAAATGAAGAATGTTTTAATGTTCTAATATTATTAACTAGAGACCCACTCTAGTCTGTGAAATAGCTGCCCCAATCTGTGAGTGCCTATTTAGCCTGTACCCAAGAAAGATTCTTCTAGACAGGAGTGGAGATTTCACTTGAATAAAGATAAGGATTGAACAGAGTTTTGAAACTTGTTCAGCTCTAGCATGCAGTGCTGTCAGTGGGCCAGAAGCTCTGTTAGAAAGAGCCAAAAACAATGGCTAAAAAGGCCTAAAAACAATGAGGCAGAAAAGCTGAGTAGGAGAAGGAGCTCACTCACAGATTTCACAGAATCACTGGGTTGGAAGAGATCTTCAAGACCATCGAGTCCAGCCCAGCCCCAACAGCTCAACTAAACCCTGGCCCCCAGTGCCACATCCAGGCTTTGTTAAACACACCCAGGGATGGTGACTGCACAACCTGCCTGGGCAGCCATTCCAGAACTTTATCACCCTTTCTGTGAAAAGCTTTTTCCTGATATCCAGCCTGTATTTCCCTTGGTGCAGCACAGGCTTTGCTGCTAGCACTCAGAGCTCTCAGCTCCCCACAGCTTTCTCCCTTGCACTCAGCACACCAAATTAACTCCTCCAGCAGTCCGTGAAGGGGGGATTATTTTGCACGTGTCCAGATCCTCAGAAGTCCCCTTCCCTGCCTGATTTTGCCCTGTGTGTCCCTGCAGACCCCACGCTGTGGAGCACTGACCACGTGCGCCAGTGGCTGGAGTGGGCGGTGAAGGAGTACGGGCTGCCGGACGTGGACATCCTGCTCTTCCAGAACATCGACGGCAAGGAGCTCTGCAAAATGACCAAGGACGACTTCCAGAGGCTCACCCCCAGCTACAACGCAGACATCCTCCTGTCACACCTACACTACCTCAGAGAGAGTAAGCCAGCCCTCCGTGGTGCCTGCACTCAGTCCTTGATTTATCGCTGTGAATAATTGGGTTTTCCAAATGTCTGCTGCAAGTGTTGCTGTTCCTGAGAGCATAACAGGGAGGCCAGCCCAAGTCCTGTTGAGTTTGGTGGAAGGATTCCCATTAATTTCATTATGAAAGATTTTTCATTTCATCACAAAAGATTTTCATTAATTTTCTCATGTTTATCAAAGAGAAGAAGTAGGGACTCTTTCTAAGTATCCATCTCAGAGAAAAATTGAGTTGAAGCATATTGAGCAGGAAGAAAAATCACATGGGGTTCAGTGCTGATGTTTTTTCTGGTCACATACTCATTTCTTTCCATTTTAACAAAACGAGAGTGCAAACATTGATTCATAAAGTGAATTCCAGGCATGATTCTAACGAATGGCAGGAGTTTGCTGTACTCTGGGTAGGATCAGGAAGATTCAACTGAATTGAATAAAAATTCTGTAAATACATGTAAAAAAAGGAACAGTCCCTGAAGTCCAAATGCAAATTAATTGTAGTGCATGGCTAGAATTTCAATGGGAAAAAAGGGACTAGGGATTACCTGGATTGAGGGCTTTCACCTAAGCTTGAGGAAAATTTGCTTCAGTTTAAAGAAGTTAAAATCAACATGGTTTTTAGAGAAAAAACCACCAAGCATTGCAACACCAGTGCGGTGCAGTCTCCTCCACACGCACACTGTCAATAACCAGCCAGAAATTTTGTGCATTCATAACAACAAATTATGATATTGGATAAATGAATGCCCTAATTTACCCTGTAGCCCACACACCTCTCTCCAAACTGCAGGCTGTTGATAGATTCACATTCAGGCAATCCTGTCAGGGGAAAATATGGTTTAAAAGGATAATTCACTATTTTTTTTACATTTTGGTGTTGCTTTTTGTTTTGTTTTGTAGCTCCTCTTCCACATTTGACTTCAGATGATGTTGATAAGGCCTTACAAAACTCTCCACGGTTAATGCATGCTAGAAACACAGGTAATGCTGGCACTGCTCCCACTGCTGTAGGTCATCTTCTAAAAGCACAGGATTCCTTTCCATGGGCTGCTTGCTAAAAAAAATGGAAGTGGTAAATCAGGAGGGAGGCAAGAGAATCCCCCTCCCTGCTGTCTGTGTGTTTTCTGCACAGACACACAGAGAAAAGGTGAGATCACGCAGGGCCAGGTGGTGCAAAAATGGTGCAAAAATTTCTGTGTCCTGCAAGAGAATGGGGTCCCTGACACAGGATAAAACTGCAGGTTTGGGGCCTTTTATCTGAGGATTTTTATGGTCCTTCTGTCCATTCTACTGTCAGATCTACTCCATGGATCCCTAGAAGCTTCTTGGAGCTCAGAAGTGCTTCGGGCTCTGGAGGATGGGAATGCCTCCCCTCCCATGAGCTAAATGTTGTGGGAATCAATAAAATTGCTCTTTAGGCAGTTAGCTCATCTCATTTTCTAGCTGCTGTGGGACTTGAGCTGGGAATTCCACTAAGTCTGATCTGAATTTAAAATTATTTTTGTTGATATTCACCCTTCGGTTAATTTGGCACAAAAATGTTTTGAGTTTAGGCAGGAGAATGACACATGCCTCATCTGTCTTTCAGGATGCAGCTTAAAGTATTTATGAAAATAATTCAGAATCTGTTTTAACCTGCTGTAACAGTTGTGCAGCAGAGGATGGCATGGAATTGTACAAATAATGTGGTTTATATCCCTACAAAAGACGTTTGGAATATTGCATGATCATGCCTGAGGGTGTTAGTTACCTACAGTGACCAGAAATAACAATTCTCTATGAGAAAGGAAAAAGATAATACAAAGGATAATGCAAAAGAAAAAGAAAACAAAACTTGGATAGCAATGTTTCTTCCATGTTTTATTTCATTTTTCACTCTGAGTTTCATAGCAAAATTCAGTGGATTGGAAGATCTCTCCCTGACATTAGAGGTTTGCTACTGGTCATAGTGGCAAACAACGTCCTGCTCTGGGCTCTAGGCCTGCTGCAAACCCACCAAAGGCAACAAAAAAATTCCATTTACTTTGATGTGGTTTGGATAAGATTTAAATCCTTTTTAAAAATAGATGAACTTGGTCTTTTCCATCTCTGGCTTTAGAGATTCTCATTTGCCAGGCATCTTCCACTTGTGGATATCCAAGTGTTGTTCAGCAGTTCTGTGTGTTATCTTTTTCTCTGTGTGTGCACTGACAATAATATTCTGAAATTCATTTCACCAAAATGAGATTATCTGTCATTGGAAAGTGTGAATAATGGTGTGCTGATCATCAGCATATGGGAAATCAGTTGTTCAATTTTCAGTGGGCCGCAAAAGACTTAGAAAAAAGAGTTCTTGAAATCAGCAGTAATTGACTTTTTTGATGTTCCTGGAGAGGGTCATGAGAAGTCCATTGGTGCAGTCAGAGTAATTTCAATGCCTGAGAAAAGGGAGATTCCATTTCCTACATCAAGCTCAATATTTCTCTTTTTTTTTTCACTCTGGGAAAGATTAATGAGATATCTGAGGGTCTGACCCAAAAGTCTCTGCTGAAAATATGAACCTTTCTGGGAATGCACTAATGAAGGCAAAAAGGTTTTATTTCAGGGGGTACAAAGCCACTTTCCCAGGTGGAGATGTTGTGGTAGAAGGGATTTCCTGAGCTTGACTGTCTCCTTCTTAAAACACATTTTGCACAGACTTTTATCCAGTAATTTGAGTGGAATTACATAGATGTAAAGACTATTGGAATGAATTTTTATATCTAACAGTCCAAAGGCAGAAATTAGTTATTCAGATTCTTCACTCATTCACTCTACAGGAGGGGAAAATACTGGTGGATTTAGGGACTGTGGGAATGAATCTTTAGGTGTTATGTCCTCTTCTTTCTCTTCAGGAGGTGCCACTTTTATTTTCCCAAACACATCAGTTTATCCAGAAGCAACACAAAGAATTACAACCAGGCCAGGTATGAACAATGACCACTTTTTGTGTTCTGTGATCTTACTCATTTCATCTCTTGAAATATCTCTTTCTTTTTCCCTTTTCATAAATATAAGGCTCTATTTTGAACACACACATTATATACTTAAATCACATATATATGTGTCTATATAATTGACTAGAGTGAAGTAATTAAATAGAGCAGTTTAATAAGTCCATTTCTTCCACAAAACTGCAAAATTCTGATAATTTACATATGCTCAGTATACCTGAGCTCTGTTCACTGGTTCTGTTGCACTGTCCCAGCACAGTCACCTGTCAATGCCCTTCACCTCTCTGTTTGTAACGCGAGGCTAAAATTCCCTTTTATTTGAAGTCTGTTGTGGAAAAATACTCTAAAGATGCAGGATATATGCTTCTACTGCTGTCTACATTTTATTTATGTTTGAGGCAAGCAGAACTCACAACCATTTGGTTATGAGTTTAAGAGTCTTAAGGAAAATCAAAACATAAGGAAGTTCTCAAGGTGCAAAAACCTGTGCAAGTTTTGTGGATGTGCTGATTTGTGAAAGGCTGATGGGGATAATTAAAGGTGAGGATGTGGCTATGAAGGCAAAAATTTTATTTTTATCATCCTTCACCACAAAAAATGCTGGAAAAATGCCTAATCTGGACATTTGCTTTTCCAATAATGAGTGCAGAGTACTAAGGGACATCAAGAGAAGTTGCAGCAAATACTGAATTTAAAGGAAATCCAGGGGCAAAAATCCAAGTGCTCAGAAGGGACATGCACTGGAATTGGCTGAGCTCTGGTGAAAAGAGATATTGGCACATCAAAAAAGGGAGTTTGAACAAGAATTATTTTATTTGTGCTCTAGGGTAGAGTGCAGGACGGTACACACAGATATTATTTTATACAGTCTTGTATACATGTATATATGCATGTCTGTAGATTTGGTAATTGATAATGAGAAAATAGAGAAAAGGAAACAACTACCAGGCCATTATATCAACAAATTCAACTTGTTTGGATCCTTGGAAATCAAACTCTGCTAGATTTGTTTGTTTATATTAATGGCTAAAAGGGGAACTGCTGATCCAATTTATACATTTGGCTTTCATAAGGCATTCACCAAAACACCCCACAACTATTTACAATAGAAATTAAATCAGTGTATCATAAGAAACAAATTAAGCACTGGCTAATTATCCTGTCATCAGTAATGGACATCTTAAGTTATTTTGGGATTGTTCAGCCTGGGGAAGAGAAGCTTTGGGGTGATTGAATTGTGGCCTGAAGGAGCCCCAGGAAAGATGGAGAGAGACAATTCCCAAGGGCTGGGGGGTCAAGACACAGGGAAAGTCTTCAAACTGAAAAATTACAGGTTTAGATCAGTATAAGGAAGAAATCCTTCCCTGGGAGGGTGGGCAGGGCTGGCACAGGGTGCCCAGAGCAGCTGTGGCTGCCCCTGGATCCCTGGCAGTGCCCAAGGCCAGGCTGGACACTGGGGCTTGGAGCAGCCTGGCACAGTGGAAGGTGTCCCTGCCATGGCAGGGGTGGGAATGGATGGGCTTTAATGTCCCTTCCCACCCAAACCACTCTGTGATTCCACAATTTTGTTGTTACTTAAACCCAGGGATTCCTAAACAGGATTCCTGTCCAGGTACCCACGAAGTTCATTAGGGAGAAACAACTTGGCAATCAGTGAACAACTGAAAACACAAGCTGATAAATGCAGCACAAGGCACATGTTATTTGCATATCTTACTGATTCCAAATTAGCCCCCTTCACTCATGAAGGAACAACTTAACAGAGTTATCTTTATTTATGGCACAGTGACAGCCAAAGATGTGAACAAATGAAGAGCCAGGGTGGAGAATCCCGTGGGAAATGGGGCTGTGCCATTAAACACCCCAGCAGTGTGGCCTTGCATGGAAAGCTGTGTCAATCATCCCTTATCAAAAAGGCTCTTTGCAGAGTTTGGAGGTGCTTAGAAATGCCTGGGAAAGCCATGGGAGTATGGAAAAATCTTTGGAGCATGTTGAGAGATACAGAGGTTTGAAGTTGTTCAAATCACAGTCTGGGGTTGAGGAAACTTGATATAATTATCAAAATAAAGAGAGTGACAGAGTGCCTGCTTAGTGTCAGTATAAGAAGAAGTGATATTCCAAATAAATTAAACATTTTCATGGAGCATTAAAGCAGACTGGGGCACCCAGGAGCTCCCAGGGACACTGGGGAATGTCAGCACAAATAGGGATGAGAAAACAAAGCAGAACTATGGGAACAATCACCAAACATAAATCCAGAGGCCCCAAACTCTCAGTAATTCCCAGCAGAAATGAACATACAACATAAGACCACAGGGACCTGGTGTCCTGCAGGAAAAGGTGTTCCAAAGGAGAGGATTTCAGGCAAATGCTGGAATGAGTCTGTTTTCCACTGGACTTGAATCAAAATTGGGATTTTTTTTTGTTCCCTGACCAGGTCTTTGATTTCCATATTTGTTTCATCCTATGTGTGATGGAAAAATAAAATGTTAATTTTCTCTAGAGGAAAAGGTTCTAAACCACCTATCAAACGTGGTGAGCTCCTTCATTCCAGCATTTTTATCTAACTCACATTTAAAATGACACTTAACAAAATGTTTTGTGTCAGCATCTTTCTGCATTCACACAATTACTTGGAATTGCACTTTGGTTTTAGGGTTCTTGTGTGCAGAACTAAATATTTTCTACAAAGAACTGTAGTGATTTTGGAAGTGTTGTTTTAATTTATCTTTTACAATTCAAAGTTGATGGATGTCTTCAAAGTCAGAATTTTTATTCAGAGAAAAAGGGGTTTTTTTTCCGAAATTCAGTTTTCTTTCAGGAAACTGTTTTGTTGGCTTATTCTGTGGTTTTCCTTTGAGTTAAATGTCACATTTCAACCAGACTGCAAAGAAGCTTTCCCATAACAAAGCATGTTCATGTGAGAGCAAAAGCAGACCCTGGGGACAGCCACTTGATGACATGAAAAAGGTCAAAAATGAGGAGTGGGGGGAATAAATAATGTTCAGTGGGAATCAGCCAAATCCTGGGGTGCAGTTCTGGAGAGAGTAATTAAGCACTGCCATTGTTAAGGCACTACAATAGAAAATGGGAAATGAGCAGGGCTTCAGTGCAAGGGAGGATTTCTCCAGTCACCTTTACAAGAGAACACAAGGTTTCAGTGGCAATGAGGCTCTCAGGAGCTCTGGGACACATGGCTGGGCTTTGTCTCACCAAACAGGAGCATTCCCATCAGGGATCTGTCCCAGATAAGGACATGTTGTGCTGATGTCTCATGGACAAGAACAGCTTATCTGCAGTAACAACGTGTTTGTCAAGGCACGGTGCTGAACCAAGCATGAAGCTGGAGTTTTGCTCTATTTCAAGAAAAAGCTGATAATGTGATTTTTCTTCTCATGGAGAGGGTGTTGTCAAAAGATCATCTTGTGATGTGATGAGTTAAAAGGCAAGACATTTTTCTCACAGTACTGAATTTGTACCAAGTGTGTTTCAAGTACCACCAAGTAGAAGCACACACAGCATCTGCCAGGGCTGTCAGGGCACAGGTGTCTGATGGCTTGGAAATCCAAAAATGGGGGAGAGGAGAGGAGAAAGGAGAGGAGAGGAGAAGGAGAGGAGAGGAGAGGAGAGGAGGGGAGATTATTCAATCTAAAATGGACAAGGCAAAACAAACTGGGGTGCCATGTGGGTTAAATAAACAGCAGAGATTCAAATAAAGAAAAGAGATTGTGGGTGGAATTGTGCTTAGGACAATGTCTTTTCTGGGCAGGGAGTAGAAAACTGGAAGTTTGAAAACAGGTTCCTTGTGTCATCAGAATCTGGCAGGGGAATCTAGAGAGGAGGTAGAGAACCTGCCATGGAGCAGGGAACTGGCCAGGTGAGGCACAAGATACCTGCAAGCCCCCCACAGCTGAGCCCCCTCTGTGCAGACAGAACTCAGAACCCACTGGAATTATGAGCAGAGTAATTCTGGATTTTTTTTGCCAGATGGTAAAGTCTCTTATAAACAGCAGTGTTGGTCTCAGCCTGGGCAGGACATCTGCAGGTCACACTGATTCATACTGTGCTTAGAGATGAGCAGCTGTAAAATTCACAGTATTTGCTCTGAAGCTGTGGAATAGTCCCTCAAGAAATCAGGGATACAAGGTTATTCATTATGAAAATGCAGTACAAACATCAGTTGCAAATCTCAGCAAAAGCAAAGGTGTTGAAGTGTGGGGTTCTGGGAGGTGGCAGAGCTAACAGACTAAATAAATGAAAGGCAATTTGGTTGTGCATTTTACATTACACTTTATTTCCATGCAATGTTTGGAAGTGGGCAGATACATCTGCCTTGCACAGAGCCAGGCTGGGGTTGTTTCTTTGCTTTCTGGTTTCATTTCCAAACATGAATTCTGAAATAAAGCACAAGTAGTGTTGAGAGTTAAGACATCTGCACCAACTTAGTTCCATCAGGTGGGCACTGCTACCTTCCTGAGGCACTGGAAGTTACAGAAGTCTCTGATTTTGGCAGTAATTTTAGCTAATGTGTTAAAGTCAGCTGTGGAAAAGCACAGGAAACTGCCAAAGATTTCTAAGGGTAAACCAAACATTTGAATTTACTACATTTGCTTTATGAAGAAAGCTTTTATGGTTTCATTTTTTTCATTTTTTTAATATGCTAAAGCACTGAAATAAAATAGTAGGAGTATTAACTCTAAGAGTAATTACTAAGAGTAAATGAAAGAAAGGGAAATGAAAATTTAGATGTGTAAATTTAAGGAGCTTGTCCCAAGAAGCAAAACAGAATAAATCAACCAAAGCCTGTCTTCTTAAAAGGAAACACTGTTAGATGCTGAATTTGGGAGGATTTATGCATAAAATGAGGTCTTGGGGACTTTTTCTGCAAGGTTCTAGCACAGATGATTCATGATGCCAGTGTGAGCCATTCCTTGGTGTGCTGGGCTGAGGAAGGGGACTAAAGGGGGTGCCCTGAACCTTGGAAGTGATGAACTCTGTGTTGTCTCTAAAGATTCTTTGCACCACTCTAAAGATTCAGTGCAGCTCAAACTTCAGTCAACAACAGCAGACACCTCTACAGAGCACAACTGTTGTTTTTACTCTTGTTTTTAGAGACAATAAAGATGATAAAGGTTTTAACAAAGAATTCCCTGCCTGTTTCAGTAATTTTCCCAATCCTGAGTCCCCTCAAACTTGCCCTTTTTGGACATAACCACTTTAGGCCATATCTGCATGAATAAATGTATTTTTCCTTCACAGATTTGCCTTATGAGCAAGCCAGGAGATCAGCATGGACGAGTCACAGCCACCCCAGCCCTCAGTCAAAAGGTAAAAGCATCTGCACAGCTGGGGAAACATGGATTAGGCTCCAAAGGGAATTACGGGAGCTCTGGAGGGTTTTATCTGTGCATTTTTGGAAAGCCAATTGTATAGGCAATGCTGGGAGGTGTCAGTGAGCAGCCACATCCTTCCTTAAACTTAAACTTCATCAAGTCCATCACCATAGAGCCTTAAAAAGCTTTTAATGAGCTTTCAATCCTGTTGTGTCCATCTTGGAGCAGAGGGCAGCAGGAGCTCCAGGCCTGGGGACCTTTCATAGGTTTCGTGAGTAACTTCCTAACTGGAAAAATAACTATATGGGATTTTTTTTTTTCCATTTTCAGCTACTCAACCATCATCCTCAACAGTTCCCAAAACAGAAGACCAGCGTCCTCAGTTAGGTGGGTGTCACTTGGTTTGAATTCTGCCTGGGTTTGTTGAATATGATGAGAAGGGCACCCAAACTGCACAGTCTGGTTCAGACCACTCCAGCTGGAGACCACCAAAACCCCAGATGTGAGTGGGGTTTGCTCTGCAGCTGGATTTGGGATGAGTGTAATGTTTAAAGGCAGTGACAACCTTCCAGAATAAAAATGCTCTTGAAACAATCCATCTACAATTTGGGTACAAAGATGGAAGGTGGAGATGCCAAAAGACCCCAGTGGTTGAGATTCCAGCAGCTGGAAAATGTGCTTGAGCAAAAAAAAAAAAAAAAAAAAAAAAAAAAAAAAAAGAGGGGGAGTGGATTACAGCCTACAGAAACCCTTCTGAACTTGGCTCCTGAGACACAACAGGAATATTAGAGGGATTCTCAGTCTGTTGGAAAACTGAGGAGAAAGCAGAAGTTTATGGGTTTGTAGAGTAGTGGTTTAGCAAAATAGGTGCATTTTGTATTTTCAGAGCTCCAAATCCTTGGAGTGGGACCTAATCCCTTATTGCAAATTCAGCTGTATTTTGGACAGGTATCTGGAGAGCGCTCCAAAGGTCCTGAGTCAGTCATGGCTTTTGTTAACAGCAAAAGGTTAGAAGGAGGAAATAAAAGAGATTTAGAGGATATTCTTAGCTCAGAAGACTCTGAGCCAGTTTTTATCACATGGATTTTAAATCATTATTCTGGTTTTTGTTAGAGCTAAACAAGACTGTGCATGACTAGGTCTCATTAACTCATGCACAGACTGCCTGGGAAGTATTACACTGAATTTTGCCCAAACAGTGTTTTATCTAATCTGGCCTTGCAACCACAAGAATCTTCCTAGAAATATACTAATGATTTATGTAAGTGCTGAGGACCTTTTAATGGCTATGTGTGAGCTCCACAGATTATTTAAATGTGTAAGGAACATAACCTGATTGTCTTCTTGGCTGTAAAAGCCACAGGGTCGCTCAGTGCTTGCAGCCCCTCACTTTGCCTTTGGTCCTGCTGCCACAGCCCTCCCTTTTTCCCTGCTGGACTTCAGGCCAAAGTAAGTTTTCATTTCCAGAGAGAAATACTGAGATGCTACAGGCATGGTAAGGCTGACAGAGGCTCTTCTGAAAACACCAGTTGCAGGGTTGATCCATGGGATCCCTCACTGGAGTCCAGTGACAAAAGAGAATCCCAGAATCACTGAGCTAGGAAAAGACCTCAGAGGTCATTGAGGCCAAGCTGTGAGCCATCCCCACCTTGTCACCCAGCCCAGAGCACTGAGTGCCACCTCCAGGGCTTCCTTGGGCACCTCCAGGGATGGGGATTCCACCACCAGAATGCTTCATAACAGAGTTTACATTCTGAATATATGCATCTGCTCATTAATACAGTTCAAAAAGCAAATGTATGTCCTTGCACACCGAGTTTGAAAGGAAAACATGCAAATATTGCCATGCAGAGGGAGAAATTTGCTCAGGTGTTGGACCTGCTGTTTCATCAGGCAGTGCACACTGCCCTTTGCAAGGTTCAGAAATGGTACCTAAAGTATTTGACAATGCTGTTGTATGATTTTAAATCTTTCTTTCACAATTCTCTAGATCCATATCAGATTCTGGGACCGACCAGCAGCCGACTTGCAAATCCAGGTGAGAAGGGATTTTGCTCATTTAGGAGGCTTTTCTTTCTTTCACTGCTGAGTGTCCCCACTTCAGCTGTAAGACCAGACCTGGAAGGGGATGTCCCTGATTTTCCCACTCCTCAGGGGGAGCTGATGATACCCAGTGTGTTGCAGAATTTCTGAATTACACAAGGCTGGGACTGAGGAATTTAGAATCATTAAGGTTGGAAAGGACCTCCAAAGAGTCCAGCCTTTGAAGCTGGAGTTCACTTCAGTTTCCTGAACATCAGGATTTAGTTAAGGAGTGTAAGAGACCCCATCTGGTCTCCAGTTACCCCCTCCAGAAGAGTACAAATCTCTTAACCACTCTTCATCAGCTGTGTCCCAGATTCTGTTAATCCACAACACAGTATAATACTGGCATTGATGAATACAGAATTTTCGGATGAAATAAATAGGAAAAAGAAAACATAAACCAGGAAATTATAATCTATTTGCAAATAATAACTGGATTAAACACTTCAAAAATGTTCTCCCACCTCAAAAAGGCAATGGGGTGCATTGTGGATAGGGATTTGTAGCTTAGAACACAATCACAGACTCACAGAATCACTCAGGTTGGAAAACACCTCAAGGATTATCAAGTGCAACCTTGGACCAGCATGACAAGGGATCTTCTGGGTGATTTAGTAGTTCTGCTTGGGAATTGTGCAGATTTCACTGCTGTGCCTGTACAGCACCATGATCAACACCACAGGCCACCACAATGGACTGACACTGTGTGTTCCACTTGTCTGGACAGTCCCAGAGTACATTCCTCTTTCCACACAGATCTCCTCAGCCCCCAGTGACAATGGTTCTTTTTACAGCAATCTTACATCTTTTCAAGGCCTGAAATTGCCAAAATGCTGATCAGTTTCCTTTCGCTTTCTCCCAAGTGACATCAAGCACAGTTCTAGATTAGCTGATTCTCTAAACAGTTTTGTGTGGCAGAGGAAAGTAATTAAGCAAGTGTTAGGAATAGGATTTTCCAAATGGCCTGAGGTGGTGGAGGTTTCCAGGCAACACTGGTCTTGACTGGAAGTGGGGGCCTACATCCCTTTAATTTGGTCATAAATCATGGCTTGCCAAATTTTATCAAGTGTCCATTTGGTTGACTTCATTACTGTGAATGACAAGAACACGATTTGGATTGGGATGCCTTTTTAACATTTGGGTATGGAATTCCTCCACGCCATCATTCCTGTGCTTTAACATGTTTTGTGTGTTTATAAATCGGTGGAATTACTCTCTCATTAAAAGGAAATTGACAGCAACCATTTATTTTCATAGGACTATATATTACATTTGGAAGGCAAGTGTTTATGTTAGAACATATGTTGGATTGCTTATTCAAAAATTTGTGTTTTGTCCAGTGCTGAACTGTTTATTGATTTTCAAAGCCTAATCCTCTTGTTATGTTTCATGTATTAAAACTTGCATGCCTTGCTCATACCATGGATTCTTTTGTTTGTTTGTTTATTTAATGCATGTTAATGGAACAGAAGAAATTCATTAAGGCCAGTTTGGATAAATACAATTTAAATGAATATGGGTTTCAGTTGCACTGAAGTATAAACTGCTAATGGGTTTCAGATGCTGTTCTAGCTCGATACTGTAATTGCTACTATAAGCTTTCTAAAGAAAAGCTTGTTTATTATACCCACATAGCTGGTTTGGATAAGAAAAAAAGAAAGAAACCCAACCTATTCCTGGTCAGAGACGTAGTTCAGAGTTAGCACATCCAGGCTGGTTGGCAAATTCTGCTGACACCGTGCTTGTGAAACAGATTGCATCGCAAGCTGCTTCAGCTGCTTTTTGCATCATTTCAGTGTTGCTTTGTTAAGAAATGCTAAGCTTCTAACATGACTACCAGTGGCAAGGCCCTTTGAAATCTACTTTCACTTGTCTAAAATGCACAAATTTTGTTGCCCTACCTCACTTTTGCAAAGTTCACGGCAGACTGTTTCCTTTTTGTGGTGGAATTGGCAGAGAGTGAGAAAAATACAACAGCAACATTTTGTGTCTTAACATAAAATAATCATTTTGACTCATTGGAAGCAGAATGATGACAAGGATGTATTTTATGGACCTTTTCACTGTTCCTGCAGTTGTTTTGCCCTCTGGTTGTATGCAGTGTAACAGCAAGCTAATAAGTTTCCGTTGTGCATTTCCCCAAATGCTGCAAAGGGATGATATGGTTTGGCACGGGCCCAGCTTGCTCTGAACTTCTCCATTTTGTGTGGGCTCATTCCATAGCAGGGAACATTTAGTTGCAACATAATGCTGTGAGAACAAGCCGAGTGTTACGCAAGTGAAAGCTGTTTGTGCTGAACTTTAGAGATTAGTTTCCTAAATGAGCGCTGTATTATTTCCCCATCAATTGTCTGCGCTGAATGACATTAGGTAACAATTAAATCTCCATGGAATGGCATTCTGCCACTCACATGAGGGAAAACACGACACATTACAATTATCCCCGCTCTTCAGGGTTTTGCGAGACAGTCCTGGGAGAAGGGGGACTGGCTGATAGAAAGAATTAGGAGCCAACATCACAACATTTCCTAATGGGGTCCTCGGGGAGAGCCTGCAGCGTCGATGCCTTGACATTATTAATGCCAGCCCTGACATTCCCGCTCTGTTCCTCCCCGCAGGCAGCGGGCAGATCCAGCTGTGGCAGTTCTTGCTGGAGCTGCTTTCGGACCGGGCCAACCTGAACTGCATCGCCTGGGAGGGCACCAACGGCGAGTTCAAGATGACGGACCCCGACGAGGTGGCGCGGCGCTGGGGCGAGCGGAAGAGCAAGCCCAACATGAACTACGACAAGCTCAGCCGCGCCCTGCGCTACTACTACGACAAGAACATCATGACCAAGGTGCACGGCAAGCGCTACGCCTACAAATTCGACTTCCACGGCATCGCCCAGGCCCTGCAGCCTCACCCCCCGGAGTCGTCCATGTACAAATACCCGTCGGACCTGCCCTACATGAGCTCGTACCACGCGCACCCGCAGAAGATGAACTTTGTGGCTCCCCACCCCCCCGCCCTGCCCGTGACATCCTCCAGCTTTTTCGCTGCCCCCAATCCGTACTGGAATTCGCCGACTGGAGGGATCTACCCCAACACCAGGCTGCCAGCTGCTCATATGCCTTCTCATCTTGGCACCTACTACTAAGTGGGGTGGGGAGAGCAAACAGCAGGCAAAGCAAAGCTGCTTCTCACTGGGATTCGGTCCCTGAGGAGTGGCAGTGAACTCTGTTGGAGTACTCAAATTAAGTGCCTAAAGGAACAAGTGAAGGTTTGGCTGGGATTAAAAAAAACCCAAAACCACGTTAAAAATAGATGTCAAAAAGACTTTTTTGTAGTAGGGATTTAAAGGAAATATCCAAGAAGTATTAAGATACTAAAATGTAATGTATATGGGCATCGACTCTGTGGACCAAACAACAAGAGACTATTGTAGGTAGAAGCATGAAATGATAAGGAAAACCTAAGGAAGCTGGTGGTCTTAAAAAGTTGATAAGCTTGTGTGTAAAGTTTGATATCATGCTAGTGCAAAACTGGGACTATACTACAGCAATATAAGGATAAGTCTACAGTGACCTAACATACAGTATATGGATCATTACAAAAGAGAGGGAAAAGGGAAACAAAAAAGGAAAATAAAAGCCTATCTGTATTTAAAAAAATATAAACATATCAGCAGAAGAGACTGGTTAGTGTGGAAGCTGATTTGGAATAGAACAGCAGTGTTGTAGTTAAAGTCAAATGAGATCCATTCATCAGAGCAAATCAGCTACTCAAACTGTGAAGACAACCCAAACTTTCAGATTCCTTGACAGTTTTACAGGAACCCTGAGCCAAACGTGGGAAATGAGAACGTGCTGGAGGGCAAGTGCATGATTGTAGATCAGAGGCCTGCACCTGATAGAGGAAGCAGGAAGGAGAAAGAGGAGGATGAAGGTGAGAAGGGGAGGAAAGAAACTTCTTGACCAGTAGAGACTGAAAGGACTGAAAACTTTGTAGCGTCGGAACTATGAAGAAACACTTGTTTGGACTTGTGGAACATATTGCTCAGTATTATACCATTCCCAGTATTTCAGGAGGAACAGACTTGATTCAGTAGTAATAAAAAGTGGGAAAAGGGAAAAAGCAGAAGGAGCGAGAAATCAGAATATGCATCTCTCTTTTTTTTTTTTTTTTTAGGGAAAAAAACCAAAAGCAAAACTGGAATTGTGTCTGATATTTAAAAGTTACCAGTCAGAACCTCATCATTACTAAGGGAGTTTGTTTTCTATTGGTTAGAGCAAGAGACAACCCCTGACTGCCAGAATCAGAAATCACCTGAGTATTTTTGTTAGGCGGGCGCCAGTTTTTCTTACCGAGTCGCGAACGCTGTGCGTTTGTCAGAGTGAAGTATACAAGTTCAATGTTATTTTTTTTTCCTTTTTATATAATTATTATATAACTTATGCATTTATACACTACGAGTTGATCTCGGCCAACCAAAGACACACACACACAAAAAACAAACAAAAAAAAAAAGGGACAATCCAAAAAAAAACTATTGTGGCCTTGAATTTTAACTCTGTATGCTTAATGTTTACATTATGAACATATTAGTCCTTAGATTGCAGAATGTATGTAATAAAATAAGCTTGGCCTAGCATGGCAATTTCAGATTGACACTGTGGTTTGCATTTGTGTTTGCATTTTTTGTGTGTGACACCCGTGCCAGGTCTGCTACTCACCAGGTTAAAATAGGCCAGGATTTTTGGGCTGTGAAAATGTAGGAGCAAACAGCCTGAGTTTAAAGTGCACAGGTGCTGTGTGTCTTCTTTTCCAGACAGTTCTGCTGAAACACTTCCAGTCCTTCTTCAACAGTGCCTTGCCATCCCTGTGCTGAGTTTCTCTGGCCCAGAGATTGCAACCATCCCCAATTAATTCATCGACAGCTCCACGCCCAAGGCTGGAAATGAAGCCTAAGGGAGGCCTCTAAGGAAGAGCATTCATGCTCAGAAATGATCTTTTGTTGAAGTTATGCTGCAAAATCTCAGCCTGAGATGTATCTTCCTCCTGAATTGTGTGTTGAATTGCTTTGCCCCCTTGCCCTTCATACATTTTGTATCATTATTAGTAAATAAAGTGAATAATGAATAATTTCCATTATTCCCCACTTTAGAATGGAGTGTATGGCAGCCTTGTTCGTTTGTCACTGCAGCCCGTCTTGGCTCTTTACAAAGGGCAGGGGTTTTTATTTTTCTCTTCTAGCTTTAGAGGCTTCCTACTCTGTACCCTGGGCCCCAAAACTGCATCTGGTGCCTACTGGCATGAATCCATTCTTTCCCAACACCATCTGAAGAGCTGGTCTGGAAAATCATCCCTGACATTTATGAGTGGCTCTCCACAGTGTTTGCTGCAGGAATCCCAGACAGCTCAGCCCTCTGCATCCCTCCTTTTTGCTGTTCTTTTGTGTCATTTTTCCCAGACCAGATGGGTGTGGTTTCAGGTTTTACAGGAGATGTTCTGCATATCCATTTCTTGAGGAGCAATGGGAGACAACTCACCAGGCCACCAGGCTTTGTGTTAGGAGTGTCTTAGTGGCAGTTTATAGGCACAGGATTGTGTTAGCAATGTGTGAGACCTGACAGGGAAATAAGCACTCTAAGTCTGTATTTCTAAAAAAAAAAAACAAAAAAAAAAAACATCTATTATAAAAGGTCAGTCACTATTTTAGAAAGTTATGGAGTTAAGGCAGGCACACCTATGTGTGACTACTATAAAGGTAATAATTTGCCTTTCAATGGAAATAAATCCACAGATCGTCACCTTCTGCTTCATGTGTACTTCCAACCTGAAATGGTAAGTGTATTTTTGAATCAGCTTTTCATTAAACACCAAAAATCCAGGTTTAAAGAAGGTCTTTGTTCAGATGGGCAAGGACGTGCCTGGAGGCCTCCAAAGCATCCCCAGTGCTCATGGGGTTGCCTGCAGGACTTCCAGATTGTGGTGCCTGTCCTGTGCAATGGGAACAACATCCTGGCATTGGGGTCCAGACCCTGGGACAGGGATGGAGCCAGAGCAGATGGAACCCACTCCTGTGAAGAGCAAAATCCTCGAGCTGGCTGTGGGAAGCTCACTGGTCATCACCCATTGTAGGGCTACACCTTCCTTCAGGACCTGCTCCCTGCCTCCCAGGAGCCTTGGAAAACAAGAGGGGAGTGAAGGATGGAGAGACCCAGCTACTGCTGCCTTGGGGTTATTTGTAGGGTCTCCCATGGCAAGGGATGAGCCCAGTGCAGGCAGAGATGAGGAACTCCCTGACCACACCATGAGAGACGTTCAGTGAGGCTCAGACAGACCGCAGGACCTTGGCTGGATCTTCTCTTTGCCATTTAGCTCCTGGGCAGCTTGGCCCTGATTGGTAGTATTAATAACTTAATAACCAATAATTAAATTGGTAATATTAATAACTTTAGCCCTGTATTTAAATTAGAGTTTCTTTCAAAGTCAGTTGTCAGCCAAGCTGCAAACCTTACCCAGATTCCAAAGAGGCTGCACTTGGTACCTCAAATTCCACAAGCCTTTTAAACTGCCCACAGATCATCAGGGATTCAGGCTTTTCTTCTGCAAATTTTTCTACCATTATATTTCTTGCCCCAGCTAAAATATAATTTTAAACATAATTATATATTTTTGTAAATATTTTAAAATATAATTTTAAAATAAATTTTGCGTTACATGTGCATTTAAGGTAGAAGAAACCATTTTACCTGTGTCATATGATAAGTCATCTCATTATCTTTTTCTGTGTCATCTTCTCAAGTTTTGGTCACATTTGGAAAATAGTCTCTGATGATCTAAATTGCTGGTTAGAAGAGCATCTCATCCATCCAAAGAGTTTGGTTAATTCCTGACTGAATTTTACCCCCTGCTGCAACACAAACCCTTCATTCCCTCTCTGGGCAGTGGTGGGAGCCCTTGGATATCTTCACAGCAGATCCTGACTGCCTCCTCCAAAGTGTCCTGGCTCTGCTGCTGTCCCCTGGGTGCTGTGACCTCTCCTTGGAGGCACTGCCAGCTGCAAGGACATCAGAGCACGACCCAGCATGAGCTCTGCTTGCAGAAAGGTTAATGAGAATATTTTGAAATGGTTAATGAAAACATTTGGGCCAACTGCAATGTGGAAAATTATTTCAAAATTTAATTTTATGGTATCACAGAGTGGTTTGGTTGGAAGGGAAATAAAGGTTCCAACAGGGACACCTTCCACTATCCCAGGTTTCTTCAAGCCCCAGTATCCAACCTGGTCTTGGACACTTCCAGGGATCCATGGGCACCCTATGCCAGGACCTCCCCACCCTCACAGGGAACAATTTCTTCCTGATATCCCATTTAACCCTGCTTTCTGTCAGTTTAAAGCCATTCTTCCTGTCCTGGCACTCCAGGCTCTTGTAAAAAGTCCCTTTCCATCTTTCTTGTCAGCTCCCTCCCCAGCTATTTTTTTTCTAAAGGGCACATATTTTCAAGAAAACAAGACACCCAGGGTTCTTAGGCCAGGAATTTATGAGATGTCCTTTTAAATCACCGGATTGAGGACTTCTCAAAACCAGACTCAGAAAATGTTGGGGTTGCATGCCAGAGTATTGGCCCATATATATTGTATAAAAACCTAAGGGGTAGATTAATTTTCTGTGCCCAATCCTAGAAGCAGTGAGGAATTCTGCTTGGGAAACCAAACCCATCCATTACAATATTATAACAAAACCATTATAACAAAATTATGATATTATTATAACAAACTCATTATAACAAAACTATTTTCTACTGTACATTTACTGATGTTTCCTTAACCTCCTCCTTTGAAAAGGTCTCAGTTCCAGGGTATTTCCACCCATTCCCATTACACAGAGCCCAACACATCTCATGGTCAAAAGGAGGTGGGTGGTTTTGGTTTTTTTGTTATGTTTTCCTGCCATTTCTGTGTTTTGTAATTCCTTGTGATTGCACTCCCCATGCATCACCCTCCAGAGTTCTTTGCCTGCCTCAGTGTTTACAGCTTTCCAAATATTTGTGGTTTGTTATCACGCTCCCTTCGACTGGGTGTTTGCCAAGCTTTGACATATTCCACTTCACAAACCTATCCCTCTTCTCTGACAATTGTTGCTATGCCCTTCTTCTTTTTCCTTTTTTTTTTTTTCCTTTTTCCCCCCTGTATCCCCTGTACATTGCCAGGCTTGATGTCTCCTCCTGTCTAAACCATTCCCATCTAGGAGTTTTTTGACTGCACCTCCATCCCACTGGATTCTGTTCTTCCCATCAAGCAGCTGATGCACTTTTAGTCCCACTTGGATGAAAGGTGAGCAGTTGAAAGAGGGATTTCCATGGCCTTTCTTTGGAGTTTCCTTCTTGTGAGATGAAAAGCCTCCTTTCCTGCTGGTCTCACCAGCAGACAACTGGGAAGGTCCTTCCAGACTCTTGGAGTGAAATTGCTGCACTGGTTCCACCAGCTCATCCTGCCCCAAAAAGTGCCTCTTCATTTCCAGTGTTCTCCCTGCTGAAGGTGTCATTTTTCTCCACAGAAAACTTGAAATCTGCTCTGCAGAGAATCACAGCATTGCAGAATCATCAAGGTTGGAAGAAACCAAGCTCATCCAGTCCCACTGACACCCAGCACCTCCAGCATCACCCCAAAACCGTGTCCCCACATTCCATGTCCAGATACCAAATTGGATACAGGCTTCTAAAACAGGCACAAGAACTTGGACTAAATGCTTGCCATGACACTTTTAGGCTTTCAAGCAGTTCTAAGAGGATGTGAAAGGCAAGTTTTAAGTTTTAGGCACACCTTTTACTCAATTCATTCATATATTTTTGCAAAATTCCTAGTTTGTGTCACAAAACAGCCGTGTAGATCCCTTGGCCACCTGACACATGAGCCAGGGATGAAAGAGGGCTCCAAAGACCTCTTTTCTTCACCCCCTTGGAGAAGAGCTGAGGGCTTTTGAAGTTCTCCAGTATTTCTGTAACCACACTGACACTGAAATGGTCAATTTTAGAAACAATGTCCCTTTTCTCCTGTGGGTTGGGGAGGGGTGTGCGTGCATTGGTGTACTCAAAATGCAGAGGGAAAAACGGGGAAAATCAAAATATTCATTTGTTGTATGGTTGAAAAATGCCCTCATGCTGTCTAGTTCCCAGAAATTGGTCTGGTACATCCACACATTTCAGTTTTCTGGGATGGGAATGAATTCGGATGACCCAGCCATGAGTCGGATCCCATTGTGCTGGAGAGGGTAAATACAGATCATGACTAACAGATGTTGCTTTGAAGTGCTCCTATCTTTAAATACACAAGGCTAATAAATGCTGGAAAATTCTGTATTTTCTACCAAGACTAGGCTGAACATTTTCCACTCTTTCTTCAAAGAGTTTGGGGGGGGGAGATGGAATTTTTTTTTTTTATTTCTTCCAGCATATGCTGAGGATAAATCCAGGAAATATGTGCAAGGTCCTTGGACATTGTGATGGGCTCATATCCTGGCACAGAGGCACAGCTCATAGCCTGGCTCCCCACGGGACTGGAGTGCCTGAATGGCTGCTGGTTCCAAGTATGGAAAAATTCCAAGTGCCTCTGCATGGCTGTAAGCAAGCTGTAAACCTCCCTCCACAGGTTTCCAAGGAAA